GTATCACATGTGGAAACTAAGAAAATGTTCATTTTTGTGTGAAAATAGTACAGGTCTGGTTCTGGTTCTGGTTCTGTTCTGGCTCTGGCTCTGGTTCTGGTTCTGGTTCTGGTTCTGGCTCTGGTTCTGGTTCTGGGCTAAGGAACTCATCATCCTCTTCCCTCTTGAAAATGAGTTCTCGTGGCTCAGTGAGACTACCTGTATAAATAAAGGGTAAATGAAATCCTCTGTTCACACAGTTCATCCACAGATGCTGCTTAAAGCTCTATCAGGCAAACAAGAAACCAGATGCTAACACCACCCAGAAGTTCTGCTGTCGTCTCTGGATCAGAACTCATTTCTAATGGACTGAGGTGAAGTCCAGAACTGTTCTCAGGTCAGACGGATCAAAATTCAAAAATAACTTCTTGACACCACAGACAACATGTTCTCCGTACTCAAGAGGAGAGGAACCATCCGACCTGGATTGGCAGTTCAAACAGCTGCCTCTCTGATGGTATGGGGGTGCATTAGTGCCTCTAACACAAGTAGCTTGCACATCTGGAACGACTCCATCCATGCAGAAAAGTACCTGCAGGTTTTGGAACGTCTGCTCCATCCAGTCAATACGTTTTTAAAGGAAAGCCTTCCATGTTTCAGAAAGACAGAGCTCAACCGTACACGGCATCCATCACAGCACCGTGGATGAAACGTCCCGGTGCTGAACGGGCCTGCAGCCCTGACCACCCACCAACTGAAACTTGTTTGCATATACACCAATAAAAATTAATAAAATAAAATAAAATCCAGTAGAACAAAAAAAAAAAGAGCCAACTCTGTAGAACTGTTAATTACCCATCTGAGACAACATTCCATCCAGAACCTTGAACAACGGGTCTGCTCAGGTTCTGGACCTTTACGGACTGTTGCTAAAAGAAACAGCGACACTTCACAGAGGGAATCAGACTTTCAAATTTAAGAAATCACTTTCTTTCATTAAAACACGCAGTTTACAAACACCTCATACATTTACTATTGGGGGGGCTGTGGTGTGTGTGTGTGTGTGTGTGTGTGTGTGGGGGGGGGGGTGGATCAGTGGTCAGCGTACGGTCCTGAGGCTGCAGGTTTGAGCCCAGGTTGTGTCAGGAAGAACAAATAACATAAAACAATTAATAAATCGTTCAAGCATCAAGTTCACTCACCGGTGAACGTGAACAAGAAGCATCTGAATCAAAAACAACAATAATCTGTTGTAATAAAATATGGGATTAAGACATTTCCAGATCTTTGCAATCTATTTTTATTTACTTTGTTACTTTTGTTTATTTGATAATTTTATTAGCATTTTACACGACGTCCCAACATGTTTGGAGTTGCAGTTGTAGATAGAGGGTCGGACAAGCTTCATTTTAAATTACAAAGTACTTTTATGTGTTTTTTTTCCAGCTCTTTCAATAGTACTGACAAAAATATTAATGTTACTGAAATACAATAAATCAATCTAACATTTGAGAAACAGATATTTTAGATGAATAAATACCTTATGTGCTGCTCGATGTCTCATTTCCTCTCAGATGCATGTCTGCTCAGGGTCAAAGTTCAAAGATAAAATGAATTTCAGTTAAAGGTGCGGCTCCTTCTCGGTTATATAAAATGTCGTAAAACATTTTTAAATCTACTTCCTCAAAGCTCACTGCATGTTTTATGCTGATTTGAAATACTTTGTAGAGCTGCAGGTGGAGTGTGACCATTAAAATATTATTATTCAAAAAATTTATTATTAAAAAAATTTATTATTCAAAAAATTTATTATTAAAAAAATGCATGATTCAAAAAAGTCAAAACAAATAAACAAAATCTGTTGCAGGTAAAAAAAGTTTTATTATAAAGCCATGAAAAACGTTACAAACTGAGTTCAGTATCAGAACAAATGTTTCATCTTGTTTTCTGTGTGTTTACATGTATTTGTATACCTCAAGTAAAAAAAAACTACAAAAATATACAAAACTAATTTACAATTCAGCACCAGTAAAACATTTTTTGCATACTTTAAAATAAGTAAACCCCTAAAGAAATAAATTCATCTCTGTTCACTGCTGTAAAACTGAACCAGGAACAATTTGAAATTAAATCTGTGTTTTCTTATAAACTGACAACTTTATTCAACGTCCTGCGTCTGGACGTTGGTTCCCAGTACTTCCAGTGGCTCCATCAGATACTTTGTTCTCTGAATTTGTTCTTCAGTGTTTTTCTTTGTCTGGTTCAGTTTCCATTTTTCTTTTAGCAGGTTTTCTTTAATCACTATTAACTCCTCAGATTTGTCAAAAGTGATGTCTTTCTGAGTGATCTCCTC